TAAATATCCACAGGCATTCCATAGAATTTCCTTGTTGTGAAAGTGAGGTTGGCATTTCCTTCAACTTTAGCATAAACTATGTCACCAACATTTGTGGTATAGTAAGTTAATTTGACATTCTTTCAGCAGGCAAAACCCTCAATGGTGATTAGAGCTTAATTTTTCATTTCTTATGTAGAGTGTTATGCATGTCCCATCATCATGAAGCTATTATCTACAAGTTTCTCAATGTATACTTTCCCCTAGCCCGACTTGAGCTCCAGATGTTTTCCTTTGGAGGCTGTGTCTCCTCTGGGATTCATAGCAAGCTCTCTGACGATTATAGGACTTCAAATGGAAGGCAAGCACTGCCTTTGCCACTATCACTGATGATGACCAGCTTCAGAGACTATGGCTAGGTTTCTGGATGACATACACAAGATGTAGGAGAAGTTCCTAAGTGGTGAAGATTGCCAATTATCTGGGATCATTGAAAATATGGCTCTGGACGATCACTGGTTACAGGAGTGATTGAAAAGCTGAAAAGAAGTGAACTCTGATCAACAGGCTGTGTGTAAAGATTCTTGTGTACATAACTTGGTAGACATGTAGCATTTCAGCAACTAAAGATGGCGATTTTCTTTTATGCACATAAGAATGTTGCTTACAAAAGATGATCTTGTAGCTTCTTGAATTCTTATTTTATAATTTAAGTGTATTATTTGAGTGTGAGGTTGACAAATGCTGAGAGTTTCTGGTTGGTGTCTCATTTATTTTAATAGCTCCATTCATTTTACCTTCAATCCATGTATTATTTTTTTGTGTTTTTGTGTATGCCCAAGCACAAATGGTTCAGGTATTAAGTTTCCATGACATGGAATAAATTTTAAGCTTTTCTTGTAGAAACCTCACATCACTTTAGTTCCAGGTGACAGTTTTGGTTGCTATCGGCACAGAGGCTCAATGCTTTGCTTAGTCGGATGCAGCTCCACACGTGATGAAGTATGCTCCAAAGCTGTCCTCAGATTTTCAGTACCAGGTCTGGACCTTGCTTTGTGATCTGGTACATTTGTTTGCAAGCAAAAGTTAGGTTTGTATACAAACAATAAATAATCCAATGTTACCTCTTTCCGTGGAATCCCACAACTATTTCCTTCGGCATTATTTGTGAGTCGCACTACCTCCAATCGCATTGGGTCATTGTTTACAATGTGGAAGCATCTAAAATCAAAATAAAAAACGTTTATCCAGTTTAGAAAAGACAAAATCATAAGAAAAGAAGAGGAGGCTGACCTGGTCTGCCGTGTAATCACCATTGTGTCACATGAGTACAATTTTGAACCATTGTGTCCCAACTGTAGTACAATTGACGACTCAAGGGTGAGAAAAACCAGTTGATTACAGAATTAATGCAGCAAAGTAAACAATCTGGAAAAAATTATCAAATTAGGAATACATACACACAAAGACTCATCTCTCACATTCACATCAATTAGGAGTGTCATTGCTCTCAATTCCATCCAGATAGCAATTTTCACATACTTCCTTCTTTGTTGAATCAACAGCCTTGAAAGCTCCAGGACTACAAGTTCTTTGGAAAAGTATACTAAGATTGAACACATTACATTACCATAAGTCACAAGAAGAAACCAAATCCCTGCAAATTGTGGTGACTACTGGCAGCCATCTGCTGGAGAGGCTGCAATGCTGCTGCAAGAAAATATGATCAACTCAAGAACAGAAACAGAGGGATTCGATGTATGAATGCTACAATACCTTCTGGGAAGAGACCTCAACAATCAACAGAGCTTGTGCAAAACCCAAAGCCAATATCACGAAACCAAACCAGGATGCTGAGCGAAAAATGTGTACCTTATGAACACTTCATGCCGAAAACATGTCAAGCTTTTGCTGTTGGGCTCAATCCATAAGGGAAGATAAAATAGCAGCCCAGAAAAAGAGAAGTGATTTGGGAAGTGCACATGATTCAAAGGTGTGTGTGTGTGTGTGTGTGTGTGTGAGAGAGAGAGAGAGAGAGAGAGAGAGAGAGAGAGAGGAGAGAGAGAGGGAGAGAGAGTACTTTCCTGCTACCAATGCTCTCTCCTCATGCATCACTTTCCTCCCCACCCTAAAAGGCATTTGAAATTTTTATGATCCCAAAAGTCACGTCTCTCCATTATTTAATCTCAACCATTAGATTTTGGCATATGCCCAGAATAAACATCCCCAATATATGCTATTATTATACTTAGCTCTTTCATTTAAATATATGAGTATGATCATGAGTATGATGATATGATCTGGCATCTGGTTTGGCAAGGATTTGTGAACTTAAGTTTCTTTTCTGCTGTTTGGTTGGAGCAACGTTCACATCAACTGCAAGGGCTAACGAGACTAGCAAAAAATATCCTGCGGAGAATTGCCAAGAAGTATCATACTCTAAATGTTGAGGGTGAGATCGTTCAGAGCAACTTGAACGACCATTTCAGCATGTGTGTCTTTCACTGTGAAATAACTAGGGTGATTCTATTGTTCCTTAACATGCATCTAGCAGTCTTAAGCTTGCATTTGTGTTTGTTATTAATTACCTTGTAATGAATTGCTCAGATCTCGATCTAGAACTCTAAGTTCTTGTTCTTGCTATTGGAGGTAGAAAAAAGTTGTCCTATGGAGAGAGATCCCACCTTGAGGAAGTCAAGAAGCTTGCTTTTAGGCAAATGCCTGCAAAGAAAGACTATTGCAAGAATGGCTGCCTTCCAACTGTGGCAGCTCAAGGGCAATCCCTCCATAGACTGCAAGCCATGGAGCAGTGGCAACATACATTCACTAAAGAGGCTTGTGATTACAGGGGAAAAACGCTTAGAAGAGTCATTGACATTTCAGATGCCTGCAAAGTAAGGTATCTATTCAGTGACATATGTTTGTGTTTGCAAGCTCCTTGATCCCAGAAAACTATGGGATAAATTCAAGGAAGGCATGTTTGAAGACTTGGTACAAATTCACAACAACTATGAAATAGCAGTGCAACATGGATTGCATAAAATGTCGATATTACTCCAGGAATATGGCAAGAAACTTTCTGACTATGAGTTTCCAGATTTTATAAGGGATAACGGAACAACAACCAAACAAGCTCATGCATGCCTGATGAAGCTGAATTATTTAAAACTAGACTGAACATCGAACAGCTTCACATATTTAACAACGTCTTGAACACAATACAAAACAAAAAAGAAACAAATAGGACATGAAAGTCTTAGCAGTCACATAGACAGAAATAGCAAGTACTATTCTTATAGGAGGCCGAATGGCTCATTCAACATTTAAGCTACTGGTACCAATCACAGAAACATGCACCTCAGATCTGTGAGAAAACTCAGCACTTGCTGAGGTCATAAGGAGAGCTGAACTGCTCATATGGGGCAAGATAAGCATGGTACCATTCACACTTTTAAAACTGTCGAGAGGGTCTTGCATGACATAAAAAACTATGATACAGACTTTGGTGCCATCATGTTAGTAACAGGAGGAGAGTTCATACAGATGTTACTTGTTCTAAATGAGCCCGTCACACACAAATTGTCCAAAACAACGTGAAATCCTCACCAATATGGTGGAGACTTGTAAAGTTCTCATTATACACAAACATGAGGGTGAACTCTGAAGAAAAGGAATGGCCTAGATGGCTTGCGAGACTTGGAAATGCTAATCTACCTAGCCTCCAAGGATTCAACCAGGAAGTTATAAAATTACCTCTGACATCCACCACCAGAGAACAAATGATAGAAAAAACACATACAACCAAATGATCCAAACCTATTGCCGAAAGCTATTTCATGACTTCAAATGATCTCTCTCTTCAAGTGAATGACCAAGTCCTTTTGAGAATGATTGGCAGAACAATAACATACAGAAGCATTGGCATTGTAGAAACAGATTCGGATGAAGAGATGTTGGACTATCCTGTAGAATTTTTAAACTCAATAACACCATCTGGAATGCCTCCACACAAGCTACATATAAAAATTGGATGTATTGTAATGTTGTTGTGCAACATCAACACTAAAAAAGGCCTCTGTAAGGGCACTAAACTAGTTATAACCAAGGTGCTACCAAATGTTATAGAGGCTGAAACTCGATATAATGGTATGCAAGGAAAGAAAGTCCTTCTACCAAGAATCTCTTTAAAACCGACTGATGGAGACATGTCATTTATCCTCAAATGACGAAAATTCCCAATAAGGCTTGCATTCTCCATAACAATTTGCAAATTTTAAGGACAAACATTACAAAATGTGGGTCTCTACTTGCCAAGGCCAGTTTTTGGCCATGGTCAACTTTATGCTGTGCTTTCAAGGGGAACATCAAAGAAACAAATTACGAGGTCCATCAAACAATGTGAGGGACAAGATGAGCTCCAGAACCATAATGTCTATATGAAAAAAATTGTGTACAAAGGATTCATGTCACCAATGTAACAGATTTCCTATCTATTCCAGCGGAGCTGGATTCCATGCTAGTACCTTCTATTGCTGGCAGACCAGAGGGAAAGGATAGCACATTGCCTAGTTAAGGATGCCCAAAAGTACAACTACTTATTAGAAAATCGCTAGAGAAATTTGATACAGTATGGTGATGTTGTCCTGACATAGTTTTTCATATATAAAGGTTTCTAAAAAACTTTAAGCGGACTTTTTGAAGTAGGTTTTCTAATTGAAGATATAGACGGCCGCATCCTTGATACCCTAGCAAATGGAGAGAAGAATGAGTAAATTTCAGAAGTTTATCTTGCAACCAGACAACCAGTTCTGTGCAGATTGCGGCTTGCAGGGTCCCCAATGGGTGTAAGTCGTTTTCCTTTCCGTCTTGTTGCACCTTCTATTGGTTCTCCAGCTCTACAAACACTGGAGTTATAATCTGTGACAAATGCTATGCTATTCATCGAAGCATGGGAGCTTCTGTATCAAAGGTAAATGTATATAACTCTCTCTTCCCAATTTGATGTCCTTCTTCAACAGCTTATGTCATTAAATTCCAACGACTGGACAGACGAAGAGGTTGAGCTTATGCTGTTTATTGGTGGCAATGCAGCTGCAAATGCTGCATACGAGGCCTTTGTTCCTAAAACTTGCAAAAGACCCATGCCGGATTCATCAAATCAAGAGCGAGCAAAATTCATAAGGTTCAGGAGATGCGAAACCGTTTTCTATATTTATTTTTTTAAAAATCAATGTTTTCTCAGAAACAAGTATGAAAGACAAGAATTTGTAAAGCCATCTATGCGTTTGGCTTCCTCTTCTCAGGAATCGACATTATTTTCAAAGCAAGAAAATTCTTCTGCTCTGGTTTGTTCAACGCTTCAATTCTAGAGGCAAAAATTTAAACTGCAAGGGCTGCAGGGATTTGTTGGATTGATTCGAGTGCGTGTAATAAAAGGCATAAACCTTACAGTGAGGGACTTCATGACCAGTGACCCTTATGTTGTTCTCACCCTAGGAAACCAGGTATGTGTTTTGTTACATTGAGATCATGGTTTTTTTACAGCAAGTTCACAGAAGGCACAAACATGCGTGGTAAGATCGTCATTAAATCCTATCTGGGACGAAAAGCACCTTTTATCAGTTCCTCATGCAACCTTCCCTTTGAAACTTGTAAGCAAAAAAAGCACCATTCTTGGTCGGAAGTAAAACTATTGATTTTCTTCAGCAGGTGTTTGATAGAGATACGTTCTCAGAAGATGATACGATGGGTGATGTCTCTGTCGACCTTCAGCCACTTTATGCTGCTGTGAAAGTGCAAGAAGCAATGGGTGACGAACTTGGTAATGTGCAGGTTGGAAAATGGGTGGCTACAAGGGACAATGATCTGTCGTGTGATAGCATGATATTTCTTCAGAATGGTCGTTTGCTGCAAGATCTTAAGCTCAAGTTGAAAAACGTGGAATGTGGGGAGTTAGAGATACAGATTGAGTGGGTGCCTCCAATAGATTAGGCTTGTAGAGAACATCTTTGAAGAATGGACGACCAGTCACCAAATAATGTTTAAGAAATTCAAACTTTGGGATTTTCCATTTTTCCTTTGTCACCAGCAAACATAATCAAAGAATCATTAATACTCGCTAACGCCTTTCATGAAGACGCTGGCAACACGTTGAAAACAAAATCCAAAAGAACATACAGGTCTAGAGGGTCTTGGAGGTATCCACAGCAGCAGAGGCTCTAATTGAGGCGATGAGATGAGGCAGATGCCTGATTCGTAAAGCAGTTCGTATACAACGGCTCACATTGATACATGATATGCAGATAATGTTACCACTGCGGCGTTTTCTATGTCAGCGATCTTACCGTGCTCATCACACTTCAGATGATCCAGGAACAGAAATTCCTGGATCGGCATCAGACAAAGTCACTTTCTATAAATCCTTGTGAAACATGTTCACTATGCCCTTGAAGGCCTCCTCTCTGTTATTAACATCATTGTTGCTTGCTAGCTCTGTCAAGAGTGGTAAAAAGCCCAGTTCTGTTACGTTGATGTTGTCGTGTGTTAGTAACCAGAAAAAAGTACAACTTCTAAAAACAGAAAGGACTTTAAAGTATTTCATCAGCGGTACCAGGTTTTTCTAATACTGCATTTAGTAGGGCCTCAAATGCGAGATCCCTACGAGCCCCAGGGTTAGGAAGACACCATCCAAGACTCTGGAAATAACGAGAGCGAATGCTTTATAACTTTTTACACCTTAGAATCGAGTTGGTAAATTGTCTAGCTTTTTTTTTTTTTTTTTTGTCATCTTGAGTTCTCTTCTCTTTTTTCACGCCTTTCACTCAGGCAAAGAAGTCGGTGCTGGCCATTGTCCACTGTGCCTGGTTTCTATAGTTGTTTTTTCTTAATTTAGGAGGACTGTTCCTTTGTGTCACTATTGCAGTTTGTCTTAGCACTGACTGTGATTTATTGCAGATGCATCGTGAGGATGTTCCTGTGATTTTGGCTGCCTCATGGGTGTGCGATCCTGAGTCATGTGTTCTCCTGTTTTATGTTTACTTGTTTACATCATGCATCAACTTCATCATGGGGCCTCCTGTTTTTGTTCCTGGAGCAGGCGGGATTTTGGGAGGAGGATGGTGATCGCTGCGCAGTCGGCTGTAATCGAAAGTCACATCGTTTTGGGATTGGACCAGCCTCTGAGCAAGAGTTCAAGCAGGCTTGCAAAGACCTTGGGCTCTAGGTGTGTGGGATCTTTGTCAGTTGTGTTTGCTGGTGTTCTGATCTCGTTCTTCCGTTCTGTTCTTTTCGGAGCGAGCAGTTTCTATGAGACCTACACCATCTAGACAATCCAGATTCAGACCTAATTTCTCGTTTTTCCATGCATTTTTGGCTAGCCATAAAGTGAAAAACGCCCATTTGCCCTCCCATTGTCCACGTGTCACCTACATCATCTTCTTCCTCACAAACCCTAGCAATTCCAGCTGCAAGGTGCGAGAGAGTTCAAAAGAAAGAGGTATTTGGACGTCAATTCTCATCTAAGGGACCACCTAAAACATTTTAACACTTTCTT